ATTCTAATAAAATCATAGAAAGGTTGAATTTGTATATTCAATTTTTTAGAATTAAAACTACGTATTTTAAAGACACATGGCGACATCGATTGACAAGTATCTAAATAATACAAAAATAAATATTCATTCAAATATTTTTTTAATGAATAAAATAGTGCTATTGATATACTTTTTCAAGATTAGCTATTTTTAATAGTTTTTTACATATTTAGTAAGTTAACTTGCTAAAATGTATGTAGTATCATCGTTTTTTTATTCTAACCAGTTTTTGTATTTTTTCTCAGAAATGAGATATTTTTCTGCAGTAAAAAGTATCCTATATGTTGACCCGGATAACCAGCTATGACCATACCAAATTTCATTAAAATCCGTCCAGTAGTTTTTCTGTGATGCGGTAACAGACAGACAGACAGACAGACAAAAATTCTAAAAACTGTAGATTCGGACTCTGTATCGATAATAATATCTATTTCAATAAGATTTTCCTAAAAATATTCAATGTACAGATTCTACTTAGTTACAATTTTATTATATGTATAGAAAAGGGTAGATCGCTAGCTATTAATAACGTTAACTGAAAAGCGACGCTTTATTTATATTACGCTCTGTTTACCTCTCGCTAGCAAATTTACTGACCGATAACGCACAGCCTAAGTAAGCCACAAAAGGTAGAAATATAAAAAAATCTTTATAAGTTTTAGCTTAAAATAACACATGTGTTTGAAAATTCGTTTCCTAAAGAAGTTAAATAAGAGATGAATCTCTGTATGGAAATTTGTAATTCTTTTTCAAAGTTATAATATGGAGAGGCTCACTGTTTGTCTTATAATTTAATTTTAAGACAATTTTTTTTTTATCCTCTAGGGATTGATGGATCTATTTTTTTTTAAATAGTTTTTTTATTTCTTAATCATCTTTACATTTTGTGTTCGAGTTTTAGTTATACGATCCTTACTGTGTTGCCGTTTTTAGTTTTCTAATTAAGTTACTACAGAAGTTACGATAACGCTTGAAGGTAATTTTTAGAATTTCATTTTAGCGATTTACTTTTAACTTCATTTGCAAGTGATTTCTAAGTCTTATACAACGTAAGACCCCAGCGATTATCCAGGGTTTAAGGACCTTTTTACTGTTCGATACTTCAATTATTTTTGAATTTGCTTTAATCGTTTCTCTAATCATACCTATCAATGAATTAGCAAAGAGATTAGGATTATTATAAATATTTAAGTTAGTAACGTCTGAAGTAATAAGTATATTATATGTCTTTCGTAATCTATTATTGTTCTCGTTTTTCTAGATATATTATTATGATGATTATGAGTGCGAGATAGTCAGGGTCATGGTCTGTGACTGTGGTGTTTAGGATAGCTATAAAAGCTGAGTTATGTTTTTTATCTAACTTCAAAATAACATGGTCAATGCAACTGTCAAGCCTCGTAAGAAGAGTATGACCAGGCAGAAGGCCATGTGAAGATAATACATTGAGATAATTTAGTCTATTTGTTCGTTCATGATATATTTCTTTTGGTGAGATTATTAGATTAATATTTATGTCACCTAGAATTAAAATATTTTTATACATTGAAAGTGTATCAAGATGCGCATTCAGGGAAGAAATAAAATTGTCAGCGTTAACGTATGACGGTGACCGATATACACCCAGTAGTATGAAGGTGTCAATAAGAACTTGAAAGCCAGTTGCTTCATTGAGATTTAATTCCGTTATTTTACTATAATAAATGTTTTTTATGTATATTACTACATCGTCATTTTGATTAAGTATTTTTTTAGTTTGGTAACATGTGTAGTTATTTAATTGTGGAACTGGTTTTATTGAGTTAAGTCTGCACTCAGTGAGTATCAAAATATCCACTTTATTATGTAATTGTGATAAAGTAATTTGTAAGTCTTCGAAGTTCTTGTATATACTCCTTATATTTTGAGTGATGACAGTTAAGCTATTATATGACTTTTTTATGTGATGTAATGGTGCATCTTGAACGTTACATTTAATCGAGTTAGCAATTTGTAAACAATCTAATTCCTGTAATGTATTTAAGCTATCCATGGCAGTAGAAGTAGGAATGAAAATCTTTTACAGCGAGGTGTACAGGTATGTACACCATCTATTGTAATTTAAAATTTTTAAATGAACAATCTCTTTTGAATTTTATTTCTGAATATAAGTAAATATGTGTATATTACAACATGAGATATAGTCTTCTTATACTTATATAAATATCTCGCGTCACGGTGTTTGTGGTCACACTAATCCGAAACGGCTCGACCAATTTTGATGTTTTTTTTTCGTAAATTTGTATTTATGAGAATAGGTCGTAAAGTATTTTTCACCCTCCTACAACCCTCGGCATTGCCATTGAGCGCGAGAAAGCGGCTTTTTTTTACTTCTTACCACAATTCCACGCGGATGTGATTTATAAAGTAATGATTAAGTGTACATATGTATCTTTGCCGTGATACATTTTCGTTTTATCGAGTTTGAAATCACAATATTACAATGATTCTAAAGAATTTTCACTTCAAAAATGTCCATCATTTGTCAAGATATAAAACTCATTGAAAAAAATATTGGAAGCTCGAAATTTTAATAAATAAAAAGGGCTGCGTTGATCGAATAAAAAATAAAAATTTGTCAATGTTTTAATTTTATCGTAATTATTATGTATTCATATTTTGGGCCTCGCCATCAAAATCTCAACTGAGGTTTAAAAATTCAGCGTAGCGTAGCACTAGGTTTTCCGGGCGGGTTACTACCACTGCTTTGTTCGTTTGATCGCGCATTACTTGAGAACGACTTACCGGAATATAAGGAACGTTTCAATTCAGGTTGTCTAAATAACATAGTTTAAAAACAATAATTGACGAAATCCAAGGATAGAAATTAAGTTTTCTGTTCTTCTCGTTCCAAAGCAAAGCAAGGCTCATCTACACTAATATTATAAAGAAGCAGAGTTTGTTTGTTTGTTTGTCTGTTTGAACGTGCTCAGGAACTACGTGCTTTAGATAGCCCGTTTATTGAGGAATGCTATAGGCTATATATCATATAATATATAATCTATCTATTCCATACTAACTCTTAAATATACGGGACGAACCCGAGCAAAGCGTAGGTGAGTCGCTAGTATTAAATAACTCCAAGGTAAATAGAAACCCGGAGCCGAAATTCAAAATTCAACATAACATTATCCTACTAAAACTAACGTTAAACTTGTGCCTAATTAAAACTTTAATAATTGTATAAGATGTATTATATATGTTTATAAGTAATATATGTGTATGTATGTATATGTGATAATTATTACCTTTATTTCTAGTATATATTTAGTTTTTTTTGCACTATATTGCCCGCTGACATCTTCTTCCACATCCAGGGGTTGACTGGAAGAGATCTCTTTTAGAGATAAGTCCACCTTTGTGAACTATGTTCATTTTTGTTATTTTTTCTGTATCATATTTTAAGTGCAATAAAGAATATAATAAAATAGACATTGTTGGCAAATTCAATTATTTAAATATTAAGCTCAAATGGTCAAAACCCACATAGAGCTTCTTGAGATCTTTTTATCACGTCACTTAAAGTCGAAGTGATTTGACGAGGTTTTCTTCTAAACAAGACCGTTAATATTCCATCACGAACGATGAATTTATTTTTCTAAAATTTGATTGCTATCATCGTAAATTATACTTAAAAAAAATATTATAGCTTTTCATTTTTTGTATGTATAATAATACATGCCTTTTTTATAGTCGGTTAATATCGACTTCAAGTTTTAAATATTGGAATATTGAGTTGTGTTATTCTTCACCGTACCAACGTAACTAATTCAAAGCGTTCAAAACAATTTTTTTATACATTATGAACTCTTTCAATAATCATAAAATTGATAAAATAAAAAAGTACAGAAATAATTATTTGTGATCGTATACTAATAACCCATACATATAATAAAATTGTAACTAAGCCGAATCTGTACATTAAATATTTTTTGGAAAATCTTATTGAAATAGACATTACGAGTATTATCGATACAGAGGCCGAATCTATAGTTTTTAGAATTTTTGTCTGTCTGTCTGTCTTTTACCGCATCACGGAAAAACCACTGGAGGGATTTTGATAAAATTTGGTACGATGGTAGCTGGTTATCCGGGTCAACATATAGGATACTTTTTACCGCGGGAAAATGTTTCATTTCTGAGAAAAAATGTAAAAACTGCAATATAAGAGTATAATAACATGTAAAACCTAAGAATTTGATTTTTGGTCATCTGAAGGCGGGCGGAGCTGCGGGCAATGCTAGTTACTTATAAACTATGTTGTTATAGTTTCAAATAATATGAAAAGGCATTTTCAATACTTACGTCCTGTTTAGGTACACCTAAAATGTAGATTTTTATGCAAATTATTAATTAATGCTTAAAACCGCATTTACATAGTTGAATAAACGTACCTAACTATTTAATTTGAAGTTTATCTATACATATAATAAAATTCTAAGTCTAATCTGTACTTTGAATATTTTTTGGAAAATCTTATTGAAATGGTCATTATTATCGATACAGAGGCCGAATTTATAGTTTTAAGAATTTTTGTCTGTCTGTCTGCCTGTCTGTCTGGAAACGCTTCACGAGAAAACCACTGGACTGATTTTGATGAAATTTGATATGATGATGATATACAAAATTTTCCTAGAAAATCCACAATTTTATCGTAAAAATTCATTATGAAAATCAATTTATTATTAGTGAGGATATCGCGTAATATGTACATAAAAAGGCAACTGCTTTGAATCCCTTATTTTTTAAGGTCCATCAAAAAGTAAAAATATTTTTTTTAAAGTAAAGATTTTGCTAACTATGATATAAATTATTAAGTGAATACAATTATATAAATTGGACGGCATTTTTAGTTTCGAAGAAAATTTAAGCTATCGCTTTATACAGTATTATAATATATGTATATTTTCTATTGTTCACAGCTTTGGACACCGCTAAATATAATACTCTTCAACCTAGTGTGCTCCGATTTCTCCGTATCGGTTTTGGGTAACCCACTAACCCTCATATCTGCACTCTTTCACCGATGGGTCTTTGGACACACCATGTGCGTCCTGTATGGCTTCTTTATGGCACTACTAGGTAAGTTACTTTCAATTAAATACAAATATATTTTTAATATTATATTACTAGCATATGCCCGCGGCTCCACCCGTGTATCTGTTTATGTACATATTATATTTCCTAAAAATCCTTTCTTAGATAATTTTTACACTCTATATAATGTCATTGACACACTATGGACATTGCTATTGAGCAATATCTGCATATATTCCTTACTTCTAAAACATCGAAATGTCCAATCTAACAACAACCCCTATTATTCAAAATTATATTTTTTTCTCAATGTTCATCACTGCAACTTCAACAATTGACAGAATACCATACAAACATCCAACCCCTTTTCGCCTTTCTCTCCTCCAATCCTCTAATCCTTTCTTAGCGGATACCTATTCTGTATGAGGTACCTGTCAAATTCCAAGTTAGTAGCATTTATGCTTTCTGAGATGTTCTTAATTATACAGCGAGTCACCCTTTCCATCTGTCGTTTTTCGAATATGTCCAGAATATATCAAAGTTAATTAAACTCTGTTGTTATTTAAAATTTTAAAGTTGAGAATAGATGTAACATCTCATAACATTTCAGAATAAATGTAGTACAATTTCAAAAGTTTTATATACTTTTTTTGATAATATGGCTGCCTGTCATATATTTATTTTTTAACTTACTAAGAGACTCAACCTTGTACTATGTATAAATGTTATTTTGTTATCAAATAAAACATTTTTAATTTTTTCATATACTCTAATTTCGTCTTTGGTCGACATGAATAAATACTAAAGCGAAAAAATATTCATTCATTAAATCTCGCTATTTATTTTCATTTTATATAAGAAGATATTAACTTTATACTGTGAGGCAATGAAGGCAGGACGGCTTTTTCAAAGTTCCCTGAGGCGCGGATAATTTCGAAAATAAGTTTTATTTTCAGACACTGTATTAGGCATGCGTAAGTTGTTTGAAAGTTAAACTCGTTGCTTCTTATCATGTTTAATTATTGTAATCTATACATATAATAAAATTGTAACTACGCCGAATCTGTACATTAAATATTTTTTGAAAAATCTTATTGAAATAGACATTAATATCGATACAGAGACCGAATCTATAGAATTTTTAGAATTTTTGCCTGTCTGTTTGTCTGTCTGCTACCGCATCACAGAAAAACCACTGGAATGATTTTGATAAAATTTGGTATGAAGATAATTGAAATAAATATTTTTTTGAATATTATAATTAACTTCTTCTATCATAGACGAAACCGAAGGCTTTTATTAAGAAGTAAGAAGACATATTCGTACCTTGTAGATACTAAATAATGTACGTACATGAATCCATGTTGGGGAAATCTAAAAAAATGTTTACTGTTTGCGAGTGAAACTAATTGAAATTGTACAAATATACCAAACGAAGTAGTTTTTATGAAAAATGTACCTAATATTAAGTTTAATTATTATGATTTTTTTTTCTTTCTTTTCTATACTTCAAGTATTTTTTCATACGAATAAATACATATGCTGGGCACGGGCCTCCCTTCATAGAGCGGGATCAGGCCATTATCCACCACGCTGGCCAAGTGATGGCGGACTTCACATACCTTTCGAAAACTTGCTAGGTTTTCCCAGACATGCAGGTTTAATCACGATGTTTTCCTTCACCGTAAGACAAGCGGTAATCATGTTGGAAATAACACACATAAAAATGTCAAAGATCCAAGACTCAGGATTTGTACTCACTTCACTCGGTTTCCTAAGTGAACGCATTACCACTACTTACACTGGTAATCCACTGCCTGCATGAGTTTAAAAAGGGCTGAATACATACAAATTATATCATACAAACACCACATGACAAACACATATGTAATCATGTTTGTTTGATAGTAACGTGTTGCGTTACTAATATAGTAGTATGGGATACTAGTTTTTGGCCGCGGCTTCGCTCACATGATAAACGGGCGGAGTTCAATCTATGTCCCAGCCAAATTTTACGCGTCCTATAATATAAACATTAAAGAATAATTAAATCAGACCGTTACCTTAATAAAAACCTTGCGAAATGTTCCTAAATATTCATTAAATAAAAAAAGCAAGAAACATAGACAAATAATAATTTATCTAAGCATTTCTCACAATCTTCAAACGAACTTTATTACACTTAATTCGTAGAAAAGCCCATCTCATGAATTTTCTTTCCATTTTTCTCTTGAATTTCATTTTAGTCCCTTTAGATAACGAAGTGCCTGTACCACAGTTTGTATTTTATATTATATACTCACGATCCGTTCTAAATTGCTTTGGTGTTTTTTTTTCTCAAAAGCTTCTTAGTACCTATTGTATTCAGCCCTTTTTTTAACGTCCCACTGCTGGGCACGAGCCTCCCTTTCAATACGAGGGGGACCACTTACACATGTCTTTCGAAAACATACTAAGTTCTCTCAGACACGCAGGTTTTCTCACAATGATTTCCTTCACCGTAAGGCAAGTGGTAATCATGTTGGAAATAATTCGCTCATGAAATATCAGAGGTGCGAGACCCGGGATTTGAACCCGCTTCATTCGGTTTCTCAAGCGAGCGCGATACCACTGAGCTACCACTGCCTCACTACACTGTCTTTTAGTACCTAATTGTATTAAATGTCCTTATTATAGCAAATCAATCAATCAAAATATACCTTATTGAAATAGACTTTTACAAGCTCTTATGAATCGTCAATTTTACATTAAAAGAATATTTACTTCTGTTGTGCAATCATTCTCATGCTACTAACTGTTGGTGAAAATGACAAATGAGAAATCCATACGCTCCAAAATTTTACCATCTGTTTTTAGGTAGGTAGGATACTGGAAAAGTATCACTTTCAGTCATTAAATTCACTGAAAACTATATTACAATACTAGCGACTCACTCTCGCTTCGCTTGAGTTCGTCCCTAGGTGATTCTTTAAATTGATGTAACTTTTTATTTATGAACCGATTGAAATAAAACAATGTTAGGTAAAGCTCACATTAGTGAAAACCGCACTCAAATCACAAAACACAAACACAAACGCACAAATAAACAGACAAAAATTCTAAAAATCATTGATATGGGTTGTATTAATAAGACCCCCAACCCCAATTATTACGTGTACATTATTTATTTTTATAAGTGAAATATATAATAGTTTTGTCAAATATCTTCTATGACATGATCATACAGACAGCGATCAGATACAAATTTTATTATATGTATAGATTATATACGTATGTATTATTATTATGTACAAATATAACTTAACCTAGATACAAAAAAAACTATCAATCAAATTAGTGATAGTTCTTGTAGGCTATCGATAAACGATAAAGCAATCAGGTATCCTTGTTTTGTCGATAAAATTGTAATAAAAGCTAATAAGAGGCTAAGGACCCTCTGGGGATATTAAACAAATTAATAGAAAATGGATGCCAGGCCAGTAGTTAAGATGTTTCTAATCAATATTAAATATATGGTACATTAGGCTGATTAAAAATATTTGTAAATAGTGCCTATTTATTGCCCTCGTTACTTTCAGGCGCGTCCCTAGTTAACCTTTGCGTCTTAATGCAAAAATATCGACAATCTTTATATATATTACTAACGACTTACCCTCGCCTCCCTCGAGTGCGTCCCATAACTGAAATCCATGAACGAATTAGCTACCTGGAATCTTTTAAAAACGCTTAAAGACAAACGTACAAAGAAAATTTTTTTTTGCGCCAGGAGTTTGCAGGCCAGTATACGGAGTAACTCACCAGGTTTTCATCACCATCGGATCAATCAATGACTTAGAAATGCATAAAGGACAAACATACGAACATATATTTTTATTTATATAAACTAGCGGCTCACCCTCGCTTCGCTAGGGTTCATCGCTAGGTACGTTTTAAATGGATATAAATAGTTAATAGCCAACGTTAGCCATATACATTTTTTTTTCGTTAACTTTATATTATATCATATATATATCATAAAAAATTGTCCAGCCGTTCATGAGTTATAAATGGTGTAACTAACACGACTTTGTTTTATATATATTTACCTTATTTTATATTTTTTCTCTTTATTAAAACTTTTCGTGTACCTTAAGGAACATACGAAAAAAAAAATATTTGCTAAATTGGTGGAGCCGTTCTCGAGTTTTGCGCTTAGCAACATTCATTTTTATTTATATAGAAGATTTAATATGAATATTTTGACAAATGTGAAGTAATGTGAAGTAGTAACAAACATATATACACACTAGCGTTACGTTTTAGCTACTACTGTATTGTTCTTTTTTTATATTTCTTCCTATGTTGTGTGTGCAATAAAGAGTTTTTATTATTATTAATATAACACATATAATAAAATTGTAACTAAGCCGAAACTGCACATTAAATATTTTTTGGAAAATCTTATTGAAATAGTCATTATCATCGATTCAGAAGCCGATTCTATAGTTTTTAGAATTTTTATGTGTCTATCTGTCTGTGACCGCATCAGTAGAAAACCACTGTACAGATTTTGATGAAATTTGGTATAATGATAGCTGGTTATCCGGATCAACATATAGGATACTTTTTAAATAAAAAATTCTGAATACAAAAACTGCAATGTAAGAATAGACTAATATGTAAAACCTAAGAATTTGGATTTTGGTCATCTCAACGCGGTCGGAGCCGCGGGCAATGCTAGTGTAACATAATAATTATATTATAATATGTAATGCACAATTTTGAATTTATTACAATTTTATTACACTATCCAGGGCCTCCAGATAAACTTTTGTAAAAGCAATATGCGGCCACCACGATGAACCTCAGGAGGCATATGTATGCTGGTTGCTTCTTGTACTTCTCTGACAGTAGAATGGACAGTGGGAGAACCCGACCTGACCTGTTGTGATCTACTGATGTCCCAAAAGACGAGAAAGGTTTCGCTAGGTGTTACTGGGTAGTACTGGCTTTTCTAGTCGCTATGTCTTCACATAATCACATTCACGTGGTATGCGAAGTTGCATTTCCCAACGTTAGAAAAAGAGTCATGGGTTATGGTACAGCTACATAATCCCCCCCAACGTGCGTTCACCTTGTCGTGGTGGGGGGGCTCAGTAGTGCCCGGCAATCCAACCGGGCGCGAAGCTAAGAAACGCACAGGGAGGTTGCCCACTTCGGTGGGCGGTGGGAGGTGGCCCTCTTTGGGGGGCGGTGTACCATGCGGGTTGCTCCTGGTACTTCTCTGATAGCAGAGTGGACTGTGGAGCAACCCCATGGTTGTGGTGGTCTGCTTCGGCAGACCTGCCGTCGGGGCGTCGTAGTTGAATGCGCAAGCGATCCTGCGACGCCCCATTAAGACGGGGGAAGGTTTTGTTGGGTTTTAGTGGGTAGTACTGGCTGTATTACGCCGGTGAGTCCCACACGTCGTGCGTAAATGCATTTCCCAACGTTAAAAAAAAAATGGTACAGCTACATAATATATAACAACAAATATTTACATATAATATGTAACAAAGGTATATATGTTAATAAGAATGGTATTTATAGTTGATTTGGTACGTAAATGTTGTTGTTATGTTATTGTACAAGTTATGTAAATGATTGCTTTGCCTAGAAGCCACTAACCATTATCGTCTTTGTGGTTTGTTGGCTTCTAAGGTTTATATTACTTTACAAGGCCGTGTCTCAGTTTCGTTCAATTTATCCCTGCCTCTCTTAATCGTTGTGCTTACCAGAAAGCTCTTTATAATCGAAAGCTGACATTATTTAATATCTAACTATATATTTTTTGAGACAGTGGTAGCGCGCTCCCTTGGGAAACCGAGTGAAGCGGGTTCAAATCCCATGTCTTGCGCCTCTGATATTTTCATATGCAAAACATTTCCAACATGATTATCACTCGGCTTACGGTGAAGGAAAACATCGTGAGAAAACCTGCACGTCTGAGAGAACCTAGCACGTTTTCTAAAAACATGTGAAGTCCGCCAATCCGCACTTGGCCAGTGGTGGACTGATCTGATTCCCCTCTCATTAAAGGAGGCCCGTGCCAAGCAGTGGGACGTTAAAAATTTCTGAATAGGTTACTATATCTATGTTAGATTTTTTAATAAAAATTAACATATATGCTTATTTAAATATTAATTTTCTTAATGACAATTCCTTAACTAAAATAGTACACAGGCTTTAAGATTTTTTTAAAGTATTTCGGAGACTTTTTTTATGTGTAATTTCACTCCTTCCTTTTAAAACTCGGTCAAAAATGCCTAACTCTAAAACGATGATGAGACCATCGCACTGTGTTGATCTATGCTAATATTTTAAAATGAAGCGTCACAAAAGTACTTAATCACTTGAACTAAGACCCCATTTTGAACATTCTCTCGCAACAACAAACAAAAGGAAGCTACGCTTTCCTTGATTTATATAAACTATTTTCTAGCTTTATAAATTCCAAAGTGTTACTGAAGATTTTTCGGGATGTTATTAGGACGTATGCCAAGCAGTTATCTAATTGATACTGTTCACAAATAATATGTATAATCAAAATTTCTTTAAATATTGTTTTTCTTAATAACCTTTTATATTTATAACTTTACAGATTTTAATTTAGTCTAGAAGAAATGTTGTGTGTACAATATTAATAAGTATCTTTTGTTTCCAGGAATAACTTCGATAACAACACTCACAGTAATATCTTTTGAGAGGTATCTCATGGTAACCAGACCTCTCAGTTCGAGACATCTTACCTCAAAAGGTGCTGCCCTATCCGTTATATTCATCTGGATATACTCCTTAGCACTCACGATGCCACCTCTTTTGGGTTGGGGCAACTATGTCAATGAAGCCGCTAATATAAGGTAAGACTAGGTAGCAAAAGGTATAGCATGAGGCCGAAAATTTTCTCAGTTTTCTAACATAGATCTGACTAAACAACGATACCATTCAAAAATCGAAAAAAGGATGAATATCACACAAAACTTATTTAGTAACTCATCTACGATATTCATCAATAGTAAGATCATTTTGCTGCTTGTTACAAATATAATTCATATTTAAATAACAAAAAATATATAAAATAACCATTCATCTAAACCACAAATCTTTTAAGACCTTATTAAGTTAATTAATTACTAAATAATAAAGTAACAGCATTACAAAATCTATTGTGATTAACTTTAATACCTTTTACATTAAGAAATCATCTATCTATACATATAATTAAATTCTGAGTCGAATCTGTACATTAAATATTTTTTGGAAAATCTTATTGAATTAGTAATTATTAGTTATTATTGATATAGAGGCCAAATCTATAGTATTTAGATTTTTTGTCTGTCTGTCTGTCTGGGAACGGATTACGAAAATACCACAGGTCAGATTTTAATGAAATTTGGTACGATGATAACTATTTATTCAGGTCAACATATAGAATACTTTTTACTGCGGGAAAATATCTCTGAGAAATCTATACTAAACGTTAAAACCTAACCCGAGGGGAGCGAGGGTAACTCGCTAGTGTTATTATAAAAATCTATTAAAATATATCCTAAAATTAATTATAAAGTGTAAATCAGATTATATTATCCTATTTTATACACTAATTCTACAATTGGATGTTGTTGTAAAATTACATAATATTGATATATTATATTACCAATATTTTAAACTAGATAGACAGGATAATTGCGTGCTCATTGTAGCATCTTACAACGCCCCAGTATATTGATGATTGATTTCCGCTATGGATCTTCATGGCTAAGAATCTCATTCCCCTGCTTAAAGACGGACAAGAACCCTTCATGATTTTTCAAGTTATATTACAACAAAACTAGGCTCTATAATGACTATAACTAACTAGTATTCTTTTGTAAAAACGGTAATATAAGCCCTAAAATATAAAGAGAAATAGCGTTATTTTTAAAATTTCGTCGGACTTTGCTATAAGTTTTAACGGTTTTTCGATAGTAAATTATAACTTATGTGTAAAGACATAACACAAATACAATTTCTGGTTTAATAGAACCAAAAGTGCAGTCATAAAACCGTTCAAATATTAGTTTATCTCGTTTTCGAAAGATTTTATTTATTCTAACTGTAACAATTTTTTTATAATGACCAAAATAAATGCTTATATAATCACTAGTGTATAATATAATACTCTAAGTTAATCATAATGGCGTATACAAAGTTGTTAATGATTACATGTTAATTTAATATCACGTAGGACTATACTAATGGCTTTAACTTCAGCTATAACTTAATTTACGTACTTAGCAAAACTCTACGTTTTAAGACTTAAGAGTGTGTACCAATTTATATTCTCAGAAGTTAGACACTTATAAATTTATAAATTACTTCTTGATACATTTTAACGGTTAGTATACATTTCTCAGAGATGAGATATTTTCCCGCATTTCATCATACCAAATTTCATCAAAATCTGTCCAGTGGTTTTCTCTTGATGCGTTCCCAGACTGATAGACAGACAGATAGACAAAAATTCTAAAAACTATAGATTCAGCCTCTGTATCGATAATAATGACTATTTCAGTAAGGTTTTCCAAAAAATATTTAATATACAGGTTCGACTCAGGTAGATTTTTATTATATGTATTTAAGTATTAGGTACCTATAGATAACTCTTAACTTACTTTGTATTATTGTACTCGTATGTACCTACTTCGTATCTACGGCATGTGGTATCCATCGTGTTTATTTTTAACCGACTTCCAAAAAGGAGGAGACATTATTACGTCGGTTTATCTTTTTTTTTAAGTTTTTGTTATGAAATCAATACCAAAACATGACATTATCGATCATCATCGTCATCTAAGCCGAAAGACATCCGATACGTTCTATCGACCCTACTAATATTAAATACTAGGCCCGTAATTCAGAATATTATTTGTACAATCAAAATAAGTCTAATTCATATTTTATTCACTTCCTCTAGCTGTTATAGAGAGGCGCGTGAACTAAGACGGACAAATAAAAAATATGAATTTCTGTGAATAACAATGTTTTAAATATACTTAATTGACGTTTTTTCATTTAACACGAATTTTCATATATTATTTAAGATTGAATAACATTATCATTTAAAATACTATTAGCTCTGTAAATATTTACATATACATATATTAATTTTCTTTTCTGTACTAATGTAGAGATTTAAAACTGTTAAAACGCGAGATCTCTGAGACTACCAGTCCCAACTTTTTGCTTTAGATCATAGGAAGATATTCTACATCACGAAATTATTCTAAGGAGAGCAACAGTTAAACAAACTACGCAAGCGTGCCATAGACAAAACTTACTAGATAATCTATAATCTACATTTACATAAATAAATAAACAAAGACAAAACGACTCAAATCTTTTTTCTTATGTTTATCCAGCAATTTTCTTATTTTTTTGGTAGCTATCGATGAGCTTTAATGTTATCAATAAAAAAATGGAAACAGTTCGTTTTTATGGTTTTGTACTCCGACTGCTGTCCGTCCGGCCGTCCGTCTGTCTGTCAGAGGGCTTTAACTTATGAGCCGTAATAGGTAGGGAGTTGAAATTTTTACAGCGTATGTATTTCTATTGCCTCTAAAACAACAAATAATAAAAATAAATAAAAGTAAAAAAATAAAAATACAAGAAACATTTTTTTAACGTTCGTAATCGATCATCGAAATTAATATACTACATATATATAGTAAAAGTTATATAAAAAAAGTACATGTACGGTCGTACGGAACTCTTCGTATGCAAATTCGACTCGCACTTGACGGATTTTTTATATAGATAGGTAAATTATAATTATGGTCGCATTTCGACCACTGCATGAAAACTATTAGAGTTTAAGTAAGGCTCCTTAACAGGTACAGGTACAGGTATATTTAAAGACCAAACACTCTCCTTATCTATTAAATATTATACAATACAGATGTCACAGCTTCAACACTCATCAAAGAGATTTGTTTCACATTCCTGTCCTGGACGAAAAATGAATATACGGTCCTGTCATAATTACAATGTTCACTTTAACGATATTGACTTAATGAATTATACTTGAGAAAATCTTAAAAGAAAAATTAGAAATATACTTATTCTAAAAGATTTATAATTTAGCTTCATATCTTATTAATATTTCAATTTATTTCAAGTGTTGCTGTTTTTGTTAAATCTCTACTCTCTTACAAAATGAATTGTTTGTTTGTGGAAACTTTATTGGTGTATTTACTATTATTATTGTTATTTGCTGTTCGTGTTGTAACACTGGGTTTCTCTAATAATAAATTAAATAAGTATAGGAAATTTTATATGGTATTAGTAATTAATTTAGAATTTTTAAGAAGAAAATATGATTAATACAAAATACTATATTTGTTAAAGCACTAATTCTCTTCCCCTCGAAAGAGAGATAGCATAATAGTAGCTTATTTTTTTAACCAACTTCCAAAAAGGAGGAGATTCTCAAATCGTCGGAATCTTTTTTTCCTTAATTATATAAAATTGTTTTAGTTACTTTTAATTATTAACATTATTTCTTATCAGAGTTACAAATATTTTATTAAAATTTTGTTTATAAATATTATTTTAAACATACTTTGGCTTCATGTTTAGTTCTACGACATTCTGTCTATATTATTGCTTACAACTATTTAATTTTTGTGTGTGATTAATTACTTGATTGAAAATGAATGGATAAAATAAACTTGTTAAAATTCCTTAGTCTTCAACATTAATTTATATAAAGAAATAAATAAGTTTGGGTAAAAGCTCTCTCTTTTTAGGCTATCACATTCCTGTACAGATCTTAGATTATATTACTTAACGTCGTTTATTGCCTAGTCCGCTTTTTTCTTATCAAATTATAAGGTAATTATGCTAAAGTTCTATTTAAAAGGCAGTTATGTGATTTCAAACGTCTAATGATAATTTTATTGAGAAATGTCGCATTCTTCTAATTCCTATCTTCAAATTCTAAAAATTGTCTTGTCACTTGAAGCTGTCCTTAACTTTAAAATTATATTTTTAAAACATTTTCTCATAACGTTTATAGAGTTCCAATATTAATTGAGGGAAAGTGGTGCTATATACTACTACCACTATCTACTTCTCAAGAAAAATACCCATTTACAAATACTCGTAGAATTATAGATGATTAATATAAAATGTTCAATGTATAATTGACTGTACGTTATTATAAAATATCTTATTTTATCCCTCATTTTTATTCGTTCCGCTCAAAAGGCTCTTATTAAATTAGTAATAAAAGATCCCTTATTATAAGAGCCGGTCGTTTTACTCAATGATTATTGATAAAATAAAGTATTTGTAAAGTGGATATCATGTGAACCGATAGAGAATTATGGAAGTGACTTATGAAGTAAGAAATATATTAACGACCTCTCTGCCCTAGTCACGAACAGTGAGTTGATGCCTCCGAGACACGAGACTAAGGCGCCGCCAACTTCCTAACTCCAGACTATAACTGAGAATTTCTTGATAAAACAAACTCAATTACGTAACTTGACTTGACCAAAGTCCCAAACCTATGACCTCGGTATCCGCCATATGTATTATGTACTAAGCTATTGAGGCAGTTAAAGCTAGAAATACATATGTATGTGATACTGCTTCAAACACCCGCTATCTATACAGAAAATAAAATTGTAACTAAGCTGAATCTGTACACTAAATTTTTTTTTGGAAAATCTTATTAAAATAGACATTATTATCGATACAGAGGCCAAATCTATAGTTTTTAGAATTTTTAACTCTCTGTCTGTCTGTGACCGCATCACGGAAAAACCACTGGAGGGATTTTGATGAAATTTGATATGATGATAGCTGGTTATCCTCAA